GACTTTTATTTCATTTCTATTTAAAGACGATTCTGATATTTCAGTTGCTTTGTACGAAATTATACTATTTTGGTAGTTCTTTGACAGTGAGCATATTTGAAATTTTTCCCATTTTTGGTTGTTAATCCAAAATGGTCTGGATTCTGCTATGGGATGGGTGTTTTGCAATTGCCTAGTCAGACAAGGGAGAATAGAAGACTCACAGATGTAGATTGTTCAAAGGAAGATTTAGGTGACCAGCCTTCAAATTAAAGAAGTGGAAAGCACTATTGCTATTAAAAATGTAACATCAGGTAGAAAGTGGATTATAACCTGGCAGACCAATTACTTATAGTTGGATCTTTAGTGCATATAATATATTGAAAATGATTAATATCTTTGGAAGGGCTTTTTTTGTGCATCATTTCTCTCATCTCTCTCTTTTTATTTTAGTTGAAAAGAAACAAATTGCAAATATCAGCTTTTCAGAACAAAGTCAGAAAATTAAATTATTACTATTTTGTGTAAACATTAATATTTTGTGATAGTCATAGTTTTATGCTTTGCTCGGTCGATCTCAATGAACTTAGCAAGATCTCTTCATCCATGTTCCGCATGGTTTTATCAATTCCCATGTTTGCCTTTTGGAGAAAGGTATAGTTAGCAAGTGATTGTTATTGTTTTTACTTCAGTTGACTCAAGAAGAGTAATGAACATAAAGCATACACTGTGTTATTAGAATTATTTTGCTATAAGTGTTGGAAATCTATAACTCACACGTACCTACTTATAAAATGCTAATTAAAAAAGAGAAACATTTATACTTTTCAGATGTTATTTGTAGACTCCATTGCTTTTCTGTAAATTGGCTGAAATAACAAATGTATTCATTGAGAGTGTTGAAATGATTACGTGAGAGAATAGAAGACTTTAAATGGGTTGAACATTTCCTTTAAATATAATATTGGGATTTTTTGTTTCTAAAAAACTATGGAATGAATAGTTGTTGCCATATTTCTTGATGCCAGGAATCTGTTCTAACCAGGATGTTTGTCAAATAGTGAAAAGCTCTAATTTTTGTTGGAAGTCAGTGGTACAAATGTTATTGAAATGTTATTTGTTTGTCCCTACAAAATATTTAACAATATTTTACCATCTGTAACAAATAGCTTGGCTGAATGGATACATTTTTGTATCCATCCTTTGGGAAGAAGCAGACCATAAATTTAAAGAAATAGTACTTGAAATCAAGCCTAACACACCATTGTTATCATCCCCAAAATATGCTTCTTACACATCAAACCATATATACATCTTTGTGTGCTATTATACAAATTTAAATAAATACATTTTCCACTTAGTGATTAGAAACACTTCTTTGTTTTTATATTAAAAATATTATATCACTCTTTTGCATAAAAAGTGAAGTGATAAACAACAGAAAATGAAAGCTTCTTTCTTTATATGCTTCTTTGTATTCTTATCTTTAATCACTACTCATACACTGAGTTCATTGAGTTTAGCTTCTACAGTAAGCATGAAGTGTGTAGAATTGTACCCTAAATCTAGTTTTTATGATGGTCAGATTTGAGGGAAAAAAGAATGAAATAAATCATCAGGCAGTAAGGCAATGGTATTTAAGTTTATTGAGTCTGCACCTGTGCTTCTGAAAACACCATGTCTTTTAGAATTTTTAAATATCTTGACACTGTGAAGAACCACCTGCTAGAAACACTGTAACAAGCTTTTAATTTCTATATTGAGATTACCAACATGTGTAGGTGTCTGTGTGTTTACTTACAAACATGTATCTGTTTACATATGTGAATATAATTTCAAACCAGAGTTTTGGCTTACAGTTTTTGGACTGGAAAGGAAAATGGTCTGATAGNTGCAAGGAGGCAAATTGCTGGGAGGCAGAGGCAGATATTTTTCCCTTGTTTTCCTCCCCCAAAGCTAGGTGTGTCTTATACTTCAGAGTGTCTTACACTCCGAAAAATACTGCAGTTCTGGTATCTTAAGACTGCTAGTTCATTTTGTTCATGTGTGTGCATATCCACAGTACCCCACAGGGTGCAGACTAGCTTTGTGTCAGCTGACTACCAGTATTTGTGGGAGGTTGGGTCATCCAGGCATTCTTCCATCAACTCCCCTCACATCTGGGCAAGTCTGGCACTGGTTCCCACTTCCACATGGAACACTGCTATTTTAAGCTAAGGGCACATTTCCTACAATTCTACACTAGAGAAACATCAAGTGTCTCCAATTCACAATGAAAGCTATTATGTCAGTCTCTTTTTATGGAGAAATGTAACAAAAGCCAAGATGAAACATTATGATAACAAGGCAAGTTAATTGTTGTTGAAACCCTAGTGTCTGAGATGGAGAAGATAACAAGTGGCCTATTTATTATATAACATGACTCATCGGTGACTTAGACATTGCTGTGAAGAATATGCTAATCATGTATTTAAACAATACAAGCTTGGAAAGGATTGCAGATCTTTATGCCAAATGCAATTAAGTACTCTATAATCTTGATAAATTTGAAGGATGGGCTGAAATGTGATAAGATAGCACTTCAAATCAAGACATAATTGCTTTGCTCTTGAATGCTAAATAAAAGACTAAAGCAAGTAAATATGGGATATTGTTGACAATGAGGATGAATAAACTTCATTAAAAAGGCATAGTATCTAATAATTTCTGTTACAATAAATGAAGCAAAATGGACTAGAAAACTTAATTAAAAATATAGTTGTAGCTAGAATGCAGTTTTTTTCTTTCATTTTGTATGTTTGTATTTTGAAGCAATCATGCATTGTTTACATTTCGTAAAGCATACATCTAGCATTTTAGAAATGCAGCAGAGCATTGCATATTGTAATGTTTCCTTCACATTAAAAAGGGGAAAAGAATCATCTTTACAATATGTAGGAAACCAGGATGTTCTTCCCTTGAGATACTAGCTTTTAATAAGCAAGAATAGTTATAATTGCGCTGAATCTTTTGTTAAAGCTTTTTGTTATTTACATTTGCTGTATTGCTGTAATTGTAATCAGGTCATCCTAAAATGTAGATTTGACATTAAAAAAAACCTGATTCATAATAATGTTAAAATATTTGATTTAAAAAAACCTGCTTTTAGTGGATAAAGCTGTGGATATACCATCAATATCTTGGAATCACTTGTCTACTGATCTTGAATATTAGAGGTTCCTGTAAAACAATAAAGCAACTGTAGGGAAGTAATCATCTGAAATCTCTTTGGTATGAATGGTTGTTCTAATTTAGAAGAAAATTAATACTCACGACTGAGGAAGAAATGGAATATCAGGCAAATTACTCACATATAAAAATACACATCTACTTATGAATGAATGTTTACACAAAAACATATAGACTGGTTATCATTGCATTTTTATGACTTAAATCCTTCTGCTCTTCCTTCCTCCCACCCCCATCTGCTCTATCACTACAGGTGAAACTCAAAAAATTAGAATATTGTGCAAAAGTTTATTTATTTCAGTAATGCAACTTAAAAGGTGAAGCTAATATATGAGATAAGACTCATTANTACCTACCTACCTAAAAATTTACTGGTAAGTTTATGGGATTTTTACCAACATGGGTGCAATTAAACTGAAAATTAGTAGAAGAGAATACTAATGTAGCTTTACTACTAATCTTTAGGGGGTTAGATACTTTTGATCATATGGTTTATATATTTATGTTGATATATTATTGTCCAATAGCAGACATTCCTGAATTGAAAAATATAATCTGTAGGCTCCAAATGTCATTCTTGGAGACTGACACAGTAGAGGTACATTTGTTATAGCAAATAATTCCTATTTTGTATGGTCTACAGCTTATCAGCAGATTTGGAATTCTTCCATGGTGCACTTCCCGTGAATCCAATAATTCTAGAAATTGGTTATATATCTTTTACCTGACAATGTTCTGACCAAATAAAGTTTAACATTCAGGATTATTATATTAATGAATTATAATGTGTAGGGAATGGGTGACATGTATGTATATGAAAATGATGATAATTTGATCATTGTTGAACCAAATCAGCAAGAGAGTATCCTTGTTTGTTGTACAGGCATGGACAGCTCTTCACTTCTTTTCTGAGCAACACTGTAAAAAATAACTTTTTACTTCTTTAACTTTTATTAAGCACGTATTAGTATGATCACAATTAATAGTCCCGTTGACTATTTCATTTAAGTACATTGCTATTTCTTTAAGAAATTTGACTCTGTTTCATAAGAAAAAGAAATACCCATCATAAGACACCGAGTGAAAAGCTTGCTTATCGTTTGAGAGATGAATATACTTAAAAGGATTTATAAGCATACTGTTTTCTGTTGGCAGGGATTCATATTGGTATAAAGTAAGCATTCACACATTTGTCATACAAGCTGGATCTATGTCATATTAGACGCTGTGAATTTTTGCAGTTTCTTTTTATAGGCTTTTAATGTGATTTAGGACTCCAGTGGGATTAAGTGAAAGAAAGTCTGAGGAGTGTACTCTTTTTTTAAAAAAAAACAGTGGCCTAATTTGTTGAACTTTTCAGGAACATTCTCAACATTTTTTCCCTACCATCAGTATTTTTTATATGTCACACCTTTCCATATACATTAGACCTAGGTAGTCTATTAATGGTCATTAAGCTGACACCTTTACCTTCGGAAAGTGGGGACTTGTCCCTAGATGGTTTGACAAAGCAGATGACAATAATTTTCTTAAATAACAGTCATCCCAGTTGTCATCTTATGATTATTTGGCCAGTTGTGGAACATTCTTGCACTTCTTATCTTTTTTCTTTCTTTTTCTTTTCTTTTCTTTTCTTTTTTTTTTGAATAATGAAGCTTCTTTGAAGACTTAATAATCACATTCTTTACTGGTAAGATTATAATAGAATAGAAAGTATCTTTTTTATCACCATGCCTTCAGCAGGTGATGACACTAAAGGTTATATCTGCAGTTTTTCTCTTTCCTGCTTATAGGCATGGATCTCTTCTCTAATTGTACAGAGGAATGTAAAGCATTGGGTCACTCAGATCGGTGTTGGATGCCCTCTTTTGTCCCTTCTGATGGACGGCAGGCTGCGGATTACCGCAGCAATCTTCATGTACCTGGAATGGACTCTGTTCCAGACACCGAAGTGTTTGAAACACCAGAAGCCCAGCCAGGGGCAGAGAGATCTTTCTCCACCTTTGGCAAAGAGAAGGCCCTTCACAGCACCCTGGAGAGGAAAGAACTGGATGGACTGCTGTCTAATACACGAGCGCCTTACAAACCACCATATTTGAGTAAGTACTGTTCAAAAAGGATGCTAGAAAGTGTTCCTTTTGTAGGAGTAAAACATCATTTCCAATGTGCTTGCTAGCAATAGATAAAGACAATAGGAGGAAAAAAAAACATTCTTCTGAAATTCTTCACTCTCGTCAATTACTCTCCATATAACATTGATTAAAAAAAACCCCACAGTTGTGGCATTTTAAGCTTTCTACTTCTAGGACACCATTGAAGATGAATTTATTTTTTTTAAACAAAAATGCCTAGCTTGTTTTTTAGAAGTTTTGCTTTATTATACAGGGTCTTAAATAAACAATTAACATCATCATCATTTCTGCACATTATGTAGCAGTTTGTGGTGCCTCTTCATTGAAATTTGTTCATCATCATAATGTTTGTACCATGGAGCGGTGTTTAGAGGACATCTTACAGGAAGTTATACTTTCCTTCTACTTCACTATTTTTTTTTTTGTTTCCTTGATCATACTTCAATGAATTTGAATTTTCTATTTTGATGTTTTCTGAATTTTTATGATCTTCATCCATATGGTAATGTTTATGTAGGCAACACAGAAGATGCTGCATAGCTTAGAAAAGTTATTTCTTTATATGCTTCAAATTATGAGCTAGGTAAAATATGTTGAATGAAGATGATATATTACTATGTTTATCAACTCATTTTTATATTGCAAAATTGGATTTTTTTCCTTTCATTATAAATATATTCAGTGATTATTAAAATCTATATCATTGGAACAGAAGAAGGCACCGTTCATCAGCAATAGTGCACCTACTGCAAATATTTCAGAGAGATTTGTGAAGGAAATTAAAGTCTGAAAGACAGCAGACGTGATATCAGCAATTTCAAACAATACACTTGCTACTGGAGTACTTCATTTGATCTCTTTTAGTCATCCTTATTTCTGTCTTGAAATTAGCCCATTATAAAATAAGGATTCAGTCTTGAAATATAATTTTTCTTTTAGATTGAATAGTTGAGAGAATGGACAATTTCTATATCACTGTTAAGATTTAGATACTACTTACAGGATCTTCATATTAAAAAAACATACATTCCCATGAACAACATCTACTGTACATTTGAAATTTTGGATAGATGGAGTTGACAGGTTGTTGTTTACATCAAGATCCATCCCAAGTATATTCCACTCAACAGCTACTATTTTAGAGGCATGTTGCTAATATTCACAACCTGAACTCGGGTCTATAATGTTTTCTTTCTTTGTTTTATTCAGTTTATAAAATGTGTCAAAAATGACAAGCATCCAAATTTGCAAAACCTTAATTTTCATTAAAATTCAGCATTTAATTTCCTAATGAATTGTTAACTTGCAACTGTGTTACAAGTTAATGTAATATGTATTTTTGGGGTGGAAGGTGGTTTTGTTTCTTGCACTCAGTACTAAACCTAAAAAATACATAGCTGATATTTTTATAGAATATATTTAGCATAATGTGGAGAATAGATTGAAAACAGATAGGCAGGCAGACAGAGAGATAAATAAAGAAACTATTTTTATTTCACTTATGAGAATGCAGCAAGACTTTATACAAGAGATAATTGTAGCAGAATGGCTAATAATGTCCATAGCATAATCAAGTTTAGCATTATCCTGGGTCTGATTACACCAAAAAAAAGGATTAAAAAAACATTACAATTTACATTTTGAATTAAATAAAAAGGCTAAATAAGAAAAGCCCCCAAAGATTAGAAGCTACTGGGTATGCAGCACACTAACCATATTAATTTAATTGATAAAACTGAAGAAGTATCAATCAGCTGATGTGTTATTTCTTTATTTAAGAAAAAGGAGGAAGAAATGGAGGGGTAAATATATTTAATTTGACTTAATAAACATTTAATTGTTAAAAGATTTTAAACTACTGAATTTATTTCATTAAAATGGTGGTGATGGTAATAATAATGATAATGATTTGATGTACATGATCTGTATATCGTTGAGGCTTGGATCTGGTTAGGAAATCTATTTTGTGCTTCACTAGGAAGTCTCAGAATTTCCAGTTAAAAACACAGAGAACTATCTAAATGTTTACAGGGATAATTTTAAAAAGTGGTTTGTTTTTTTCTGGCTTCAGTGATGGAATCAAACACCAATACCTCTCTTTGTCTTCTTCTCAATGGCCTACTATGGAAAGTACCGGAGTTGGCTATGGCTTTAACCCCATCATGGTAGATGGAAGATATTTAGAAAACTACAGATTATAGGCAGAATACCTAGTAATTTAATATTGCAATATTAACTTTGTAAGATACTGTAAACTGAGAAAATAAAATGGACTCATAATTATCTCTAGGTAAAAAATGCATAGCTACTTTTTATGAAAAAATGAATGTTTACACTAGCTTTTTAGACTATTTAAAGAATTGATGAAATAAATAAAAGCTATTTGGATTAGCACTGAGATATACATTGAACATTTTTCTTGCAGTTATTTTTAATACTGAAAAGGGTGCATTAAGAAATGCATAATTAAATAACTGAAATTAGCAAATATGACAGAATGATACATTTTATAAGTTTATAATTTGTGGCAGGTATTTGAGAAGTCAAGTGACAAAATTTTAGAATAGATTGATGCAGTAAATAAAAATAAGTTGCCTACACCATATGGTATTCATCCAACAGTTGCAAATACATTTTAGGAAAAAGCTGAGTCAATTTGCAACTTGAAAAATAAAAATCACCAGGCAATGCTCATGTTTTAAATTTATGTTTTCTTTTTCACCCTGCTCCTTTTTTGCGAGATAGAGATGGTAAATACAGAAGAAAATGAAGAGGGAGAATTGGGAAAGGAGGTATCTTGTTTAAATTAAAGTCTGCTGCACATCATCATGAACGCAGGAGCTTTAAATAATACCTGAATGGAGAGCAGGAATAAAGGGTCATCTTCCTAATAACTGATGAAATCAAATGGATGTCAGCAAATGATAATGAAAGCAAAAAGGATCACAAAAAGGATTTTTTTGCAGAATACTAAGCATTTTTTTAGTCAAGGAAACACTCTAATTAGTAAATATACACTGCAATATTAAAAGTAGGTTGATACAATTTGCAAATATGAAATACAAACATCTGTTTTGTTAAAATTATTAAATGACTTAGTAGGGCTAAATAATTGAAGTCTGACTACTGATGTTGGACAGTGAAAACTGGTTCAATTCTAAGATATCTATCTATGGGAGGTAAGTAAAGAGGGTTTTTTTTTGTATTATTAAATCAATACTTTTATAAATCATTACCAAATAATGAAACCATAAGAAGTAAGATTTAAGAAATCAAAATAAACTATTGAGATAACCAGTCAGTCAGTCAGATCAATCAATAAATCAGAATAGAGCTGAAGGGACCTTGGAGATCTTTAGTCCAACCTCAAGCAGGGGTCCTACACCATTTCAGATAGGTGGCTGTTCAGTCTTTTCTTTAAAACCTACAGTGATGAAGCCCCTACAACTTCTGAAGATAAACTGTTCCAATTGTCCTCTGTTAGGAAGTTTCTCCTTAGCCAAAGCATTTTTGGTCAGGAATAAATAGAAACATTCTATAACATCCTAGCCCAGTGATGGTAAACCTATGGCATACATGCAACAGGTGGCACACAAAGCCCTCTTTGCGGCACACCAGCCATTGGCTCAGCCCAGCACCACCACGCATGCCCATGCACCTCCCACCAGCCAGCTGGTCTTTGGGTCTTTGCCATGCATGTGCAGGAGATCCCCGATCTCCGCAGGTCCCCCCCAGTGCGCCCTATCTTTCTACTCCATTTCTGTCGTTTGCACCAACCTGGAAGCCAAAACTGGATGCAGGTGGGGGCTGAGGAGGCATTCACGTTGCATTTTAGGGATTGAAGAACGTACATGTGCATTCACGCATGCACTTTGGGCACTTGGCACCAAAAAGTTTAACCATCACTGTCTTAGCCCATGCTAGGTGGCAACATTTTTAAAAAGTTACAGAGGGTCAAATCTGAAAAGTATTTGTAAATACCAACTCTGGATGAGACTGAAAACAATGACAAAAAGCTCTATATCCTTGTTGACTTAGTCTGAAAAGAAATTGATGATGTTTGGGTGTTTCTGAACTATTCAAATCCTTTTTTGTGTCTCTCATGACATTTCTAATAGAATTCTAGAATTCTTCAAGCCACCCCTCCCTCAGTAACCCATCATACATTAGTAAAACAAACTAGGTTCAATTAAAATAGTAAAAGTCATCAAAAACTAGTGCAACAGAGGAGGCAATATTTACAAGTGAAAATGGGGCAATTCTCTCAGTATCAGCTTTAATAGTATAAATGTTTTCCCTGATCTCAATAAACTATCGTGCTACACAAACCAAATGAATCACTCAAATCTTATAACCAAGTTCTGGGATTTGATAATAGAATGTTGCATACAGAAAAGAAGAACATGTCAGTAGTCCTTGTTTAGCAACCACAATTGGGACTGGCAAACTGCACCATTAAGCAAAGTACTAAGTGAAACTGACAGTGTTTATGACTTTACTTTAGCTTTGCTTTAGAGACCTACAAAAATTATATGTGCAAGGATTGGTTGCAAAGTTACTTTTTCATCATGTTTGAGAAAGTTGTTAAACAAGGGCTATCTATATACTGAAATTCTGAGTCACATTAGCAGTGATTTATATATATAAATTTATATCTGTGATATAAATTTGATGACTTGTTTGAAGAGCTGATTATAGAATAAATAGATAATTTACACTAAATAGATTTGCATATTTTTACAAATACTTTTACAAATAAGGCAGGAGGCCATATTAAGATCATATTCAAAAAAGGAACATTTTTTAGTCAAATAAAGTAACAAATGTAGTATAAGCATGTTATATTTTTCATATGATTTTAATGGAAAGTAATAAATCTTTAAGAAGTAACATCATTCATTTCATATTTATCTTATATTCACTTCTCACTGGTATTTTTATTGATCTATGGCACTAATTTACCCATA